TTCCCCTTAGTATTATGTGGGTAGAAGAACAAGAGTCTAAAGCAAGCTTTCAAGAAGACTGTGCTGTGGGAGCGCGTGGTTAGTCTGGACTTGTTTTTCCTGAGAAAAGGCATGCAATTTATATTTTGCAAAATAGGCTTCTGTTTCATCCATTTGGACTGTGGAAAAGAGCACAAGTTTCCTACCAGCTTTTCACAAATGTGCTAGAATGCTGTCCCTACTGTCGTGTTTTCTTGAGAGCTGCTGCCGTCTCAGCAAGCACGTGCTCCTTTTGCTCAAATTACTTTGTGGCTTTCAGAGCAGAGTGCTCATTTGTCCCTAAATTTAGAGCCATTTCAATTTCACTCTGTCCTTATCTCTGTGTAAGTGCTGATGCTCTTCTTACACATCCAAAGTAAACTGGTTGTGTTTGTTTACCTCCTTCAGTAAAGTTTTTTTTATTTTATTTGTGGTTTGAGTGAAAGTTTATAGGTCATTAGACATTTTAACAGATACGCATGAAGAAGATTTGTGTGTGTGTAGTTTTATTGCATTTAGTTAATTTTCAAATTTTATTTATTTGTCTGGAAGTCTATTAGTTACTTAGGGCTGTGGTAACAAAACATACCACATAAAGTAGGTCACTTTAAGGAAGAGGAATTTTCTTTTTTCATGGTTCTGGAGGCTAAAACTCCAAGGAAGGCTATCAGTTGTATTTATTTCTCATATGGTTTCTCTTTTAGTTTCTGCTGTCTGTTGGCAATCTTTGGAGTTACTATGCTTGTGGATAGCCCTTTACCCCAGGAGAAGATGGGCACAATGTGAACACCTATCTGTAGGCAAAGTTTTAGGGCCCACTTTAGTATAACCTCATTTATAGAAGAAAAGTCCTATATCCAAATAGTCATCTTTATGCTACAAGACTTAGATCTTTCACATATCTTTTTGGGAACACAATAAGAGGGCACTGTTTAAATGATGCTGTTGTGAAATACTGTGGAGTTGACTCTAATTTATAGTAACTCTTGAAACTCTGTCCACGCTTGAATCATCCTTGTAACATCTACTATCTTTGAGCCATTTGTCCAGCTGTCACATGAAACAGTTGAAAATACTATGGCTTGGGTCAGGTACATCTTAGTCTTTGAATAGACACATTTGCTTTTTAACACTTTAAAGAGGTACTCGGCAGGAGATTTATCCATTGCAGTATGCCTTTTGATTTCTTGACTGCTGCTTCCATGAATATCTATTGTGGATCACAGTAAAATGTGTCTGACATGATGCTGTTTACTGGTTCAGTGGTGAAGATGTTGATTTTTTTTCTTTTAGTGTTGTGTCTCCTTGGGGAAAAAACTGCTGTCAGGGACAAAGTGCTAAAGAACAATGATGTCAGTTAAAAACCTAAGGTGCATCCACTCCAAGCTGTGGTATTCTTGATTATTTGTTGTGCATCTGAATGTGGATAGAAGAAAAGTAATGCCTTTTAGTTGTGTTGTTGAGGGTGAGTACTGACTATCCCATGGACTACCAAGGGAACAAACAGATATCTCTTGGAGAAAGTGAAACTAGAATACTACTTGGAAACAAGAGTGGTAAAACTTTGTCTCACATACTTTGGACTTTTTAGAAGAGGCAAGTACTTGGAAAAGGACGTCATGCTTGGAAAAGTGGAGAAGAAGAGAGGAAGACCCACAAGGTGAATTGATGCAGTGACAACGGGCTCAAGTATATCACGGGCGGTGAGGATGGTCCAGGACAGGACAGGTTTCAGACCCATTGTTGGTCACTGTGGGTCACAGTGGCCTTGATGGCACGTAACTACAACAATCCATATGGAAAACTAAAGAGTCTTTGGTAATTGTGTCTAGTCTTCTTTATCTTCCGCAAAGAAGGTAATATCAGCTATGTATCACAGGTTGTTGATGAGTCTTCCTCCATTCTCTACTGCATTCTTAATGTAGCCCAATTTCTTGAATTATTTTTTCAGCTTATAGATTGAGTAGGTATGAAAGGATACAACCCTGGCACACACCTTTCCTGACTTTAAACCATGCAGTGTTACCTTGTTCTGTTAAAAATACTTTGTATGAGCACATTGACGTAACCTGGAATTCTTATTCCTTTTAGTGTTATTAATAACTTATTGTCATCCATATAGTCATATTTTGTATAGTCATTTAAGCACAGGTGACCTTTTCCGACATATTCTGCTTTAAGCCAAGATCTGTCTGACATCAACAGTGATGTACCTCTGAATTCAACTTAAATTTCTTTTAGTTCTTGTTGATGTACTGTTCCAACAATTGTAAAGATTTTATGTATGATAGTATAGGTTGTTCAATAATTTCTTCATCCTATTAGATTAAATGTGTTGAGGTTTGTTTCTTTTTTTTGTTCTTGAGTGGGCACAAATATGGATTTCTTCTAGTCAGTTGTCCAGGTTACCTTTTTCCAGATTTCTTGGCATAGATGAATGAACATGGCCCAAGATGTATCTGTTTGTTTAAACACCTCAATTGATATTCCTTCAATATTTGAAGCCTTGTTGTTTTATTTTTTTATTTTAAAATTTATTTCCCCAGTACCTTCTGTGCAGTTTGAATATCTTCCTTCAGTGTCATTGTTGATCATATGCTGCTTCCTGAAATGGTTCAGCATTAATTGTTCTTTTAGGTACAATGACTCCCTTCATCTCCTTTGGATGCTTCTTGTGCCACTCCATATTTTGCACGTAGAATCCTTCAGTCTGGCAATTTGAGGTTTGATTCTGTTTTTCCATTTCTTTCCATTTAAAGAATATTAAAAAAATAATAACATGTTTTCCCTTTTAATTTTCTAATTCCAAGTCATCTTTGCATGTGGATATTATTTTATTACTGACAACATTATACTTCTGGGTAGGCCTTGAAATACGTCTTTTGACAGTGAATGCTACACCATTCTCCAATTTTTCATTGAAAACCATTTTTTTGTGAGAAAAATTTATATTTAGAACTAGTCAGCTGGACTCAGTTTAGATTATTCCATTTTGTTGATAACATCCAAAGTGTCATAGTCAGGAGCAAGTCAAACATAGGCCTTCTTCTCTCCACCAGGCCTAATCAAGGTGTTGACCTTCATCACATCAGTGTCATAGAGCTTTTTTACAGCTTGTTTAAGTTGGTGCTTGTTGGCCTTGAGATGCACAATGAACACAAGTGTGTTGTTATCTTCTATCTTCTTCATGGCTGATGTTATCTTCTATCTTCTTCATGGCTGACTTGGTGGTCAGGGGAAACTTGATGATGGCATAGTGGTCAAGCTTGTTGTTTCTCCTGGGGGCACTCTTCTGGGAGTATTTGGGCTGCCTTCGGAGCATCTTAGGTCACTGGAAGGTGGGTTATGTGCACATCTATTTTTTGTGGCTATGGATGCCCTTCTGGACTGCCTTCTTAATGCCTTTGTTTTGGTTTCAGTTTTGGGAGGGGTAGGGCCTTCCTTTTTCTCTTTCAGCACCATCTTCATAGAAAGACTGGACGGCCATTTTTACAGAGTACTTTCTTAGTTACCTACTGCTGCTGGAAAACAAAATACCATGAGTGAGACTTTAAAGGTTAGACATTTATTTCTCTTGGTCTCAGAGGCGAGGCATCTGGAGTTAGTATGTGGCTGTAGTGGGAGGGCCTTCCTGGTTGGTAGCCCCTCCAGTTCCCTCATGATCAGCTGCTGGTGGACAGCCTGCCTGTGCACAGTCTCTGTGTATGCTCCTATGTCTATTCTGTTCTTCTTGTATATTAGGAGTGAATAGGTATAGAGTGCCTCAGATATCTACCCTGCTCTATTGTGACATCATTAATGTCACAAAATAAAACTCCTATTTCTAAACTGGGACATATTTACAGATATTTATATACTTACATATTGACAGTTTGCTGTTGTTATGTATCATTGAGTTGAAACTGACCCATAGCTGACCCTCTAGCAGATTTTCAGAAGCAGTTATTTGCATGAAGGAAGATTGCCTATGTTTCTTCTGCAGAGCAGGTGGTTGGTTCATTCAAACCACATGCATCAGGAAAATCTGCTGCCAGGGACCTCTCCAGAGTACTGAAAAGCAACAATGTCAGTCAAGACACTAATGAGCTCCTAATCCAAGCCATGGTCTTCGCAATTACTTGCTATGCACTAAGGATGACAGAAGAAGAATCGATGCCTTCGAATTGTGGAAGAGTCTTGAACATACCATGGACTGCCAAGAAAACAAATAGGTTTGTCTTGGAGAGGGTGAAGCCAAGTTTCTTCTTGGAGGCTAGGATTTTGAAGTGCCATCTCACATACTTTGGGCACTTGGCCAGGAGAGACCGATCCTTAGAGAAGGACATCATGCTCAGAAGGGTAGAGGGACAGTGCAGGAGAGGAAGACCTGGCATGAGGTAGATTGATAAAAGTAACTGGAGCAATGGCGGTTGATGTGTTGGAATTAGTGAGACTGGCTCAGGACAGGGCAGCCTTAAGAGCTGCTGAATATGGGGTCGCTACAGATCACAGGTAAATTGACAGCACACAACAACAACATGTTTAGGTTGCCAGTGCAACTCCTTACCAGTGGGCCACCAGAGCCCCTTATTTATAGGAAGCAATAAGGATTTCAAAACATATTTTGAGTGAGAGGATGCAATTGAATGTGGCAAGGAAAGCCCTTGCTAGTTGTTAGTACATTTTAGGCACTATGTTAAGGAGTCTGCTCACTAAGGCTGTATTCTATAGAGGAAACTAAGTGTGTGTTGTGATGAATACGGTACAATATGTACTATGATGGCAAACAAGTGGGAAGTTGTGGAAACTTCTTAAGGAAAGACCTGACCAGACTGGAACAGGTAGATTATGGTTTATGCTCCCTGAAATGCATCACCTTGTAAAGGATATGAAGTAACTCAATTGATCCTGCTGTAACATGTCCATAGTTTGATATTTTGTTTCTGTTTCTTATTCTAGAAACTCGGAACCTGAGTGTCACTGAGCCAGTGTGACCAGGAGTGATGTTACCCCGATGGGAGCTGTCTCTTTATGTGCTTACTTCCCTTGGCTTCCACTTCTATTCTTTTTACAAGGTTTACAAAGTCTCCAGAGGTAAGGCCCTAGGCTGTTCTGATTCCTGTCAGGAGAGGAAGTGGAGAGGGGGCTGCTCTGAGGTGGAAGATTCAGGAATATGGTCTGATAGACTTATGATGACTTTGGCCTGGCTTGTTTTCCCCAGGCTTGCACTAATGGACTGATTATAGTTTTCAACGGCTGTGCTCTTTTGGAAGTAGGTCTTGAGGCCTTTCTTCTAAGGTGCCTCTGGGTGGATTTGAACTGCCAGTGTTTTGGTTTTTAGTCAGTCATTTAACCATTTGTATTACTCAAGAACTTCCTTAAAACAACCATTTTACTCTCTCTCCTGGTTCTATGAGATCATGTTTGTAATAAGTGTGGATTGCTCTCACCTGGACAGGTTCTTCTGATTTATGTGTTGCCAGTGGGTGGTATAGTTAGCTGGTGGTTTGCCAGGGCTGACACACCCAAGGTGGATCACTTCTCAGGGGGCTAGCTGTTGATGCTGGCTGTCACCTTAAAAGATCAGCTGGGTACTCCTCTGGAGCACCCTGGTTCTCAATGAGGACTGTCTGCATAGGCTGATCTTCTCAGAACCTGCCAACCAGGTTCCCGGACAGAGTGCTGCAGGTGCACAAAAGCTGCAGATCTTGAATATAACTTTTGCTTGAGGCTGATTTTCCCTAGTCCTTTTAGTCAAGAAAGCCACATGGTCATCCCAGATTCAAATGAAAGAAGATACTACCTTCTTATGGTTGAAGCAGCATGGATTTTCAGGGAGAGGAGGAATTGGAGGTGTGCCATCTTTGGAGTCTCGCTGCTACAATGGACACAATTCATTTTCACCCAGATGAAGGCACTGAGGCTGGAAATGTGTGTGAGGCTGGAAATGTGGCCACACACATATATATATATATCACATAGAAATGACAAGATTATGTAAAGAAAGTTCTAAGTTAGCATGCACCTGCATATACCTCTCGTCACATATCCAGACATAAATAGTAATGATAAATAAGGATGACAAATGAATTGACACCTTTGAATTGTAGTGTTGGAAAGAGCACTTACTATTCCATGGACTGTTAAAAGAATAAAAGAACAAATAATATCTTGGAGAAAGTGCAACCAAAGTGCCCCTTAGAGGCAAGGTGGTGAAACTTCATCTCATATTCTTCAGTCATGTTGCAAGGAAGGTTTAGTCCTTTAGAAAAGACATCATGCTTGGTAAGGTGGAGGCTCATTGATAAAGAGAAAGATCCTCAATGGGATGGATTGGCACAGTGACTGTAGCAACGGGCTCCAAATACATTGGAGATGACAAGGATGGCAGATGATGGGGCAGGGTACAGATGTACTTACTGTTCACATGGTCGCCATGGATCGTGGTCAACTTGACAGCACCTAACAACGACAACAACAATGTCCTCATTCAATAGTCTAAAATACTATTCAAATATATTTGCTTAATAAAGTTATAAGCCGTAGATTCAATTTGGTGGTTGTTTTTATGTGCTGTTGAGTCACCTGTGGCTCATAGCCAACTTATGTATGATAGCTCTGAATTCTGTCCTATTCTGAGCCAGTCTCACTGTCTCTGATACACCTAACCCATTACCCCAGTTACAGTGTCAATGCATCCATCCAGGGTGTTCTTCTCCTGTGCTGTCCCTCCACCTTTCCAAGCATGATGTCCTTCTACAAGGACTGGTCCCTTCTGGCAACATTCCCAATGTATGTCAGATAGAACATCAAAATCCTTGCCTCCAAGGAGAAGCTTGGCTTTACCCTCTCTAAGACAGACCTGACATATTTCAGCTAACAGATGCTGCCCTGGACGTGCTCACCAAGTTGTGTCAAGAAATCTGGAGAACAACCACTTGGCCAACTGACTGGAAGAGATCTATATTTGTTCCCATTCCAAAGAAAGGTGACCCAACAGAGTGTGGAAACTATAGAACAATATCATTGATTTCACATACAAGCAAGAGTCTGCTGAAGATTATCCAAAAATGACTGGAACAGCACATCAGCAGAAGTCCAGGCTGAGTTTAGAAGGGGTTGCGGTACTAGGGATATTGTAGCTAATGATGGATCTTGGCTGAAAGCCGAGAGTACCGGAGAAATGTCTATCTGTGTTTCATTGATTATGCAAAGGCGTTTGACTCTGTGGATCATAATAAACTGTGGCTGACTCTGAGAAGAATGGGAATCCCAGAACACTTGATTGTGCTAATGAGAAACCTATACTTGGACCAAGAGGCAGTCTTCAGAACAGAGCAAGGAAACACTGCATGGCTCAAAATTGGGAAGGGCATACTCCAGGGATGTGTCCTGTCTCCATACCTTTTCAAACTGTATGCAGAACAGATCATCCGGGAGGCTGGGCTCTATGAGGAGAAATGTGTGTCAGGATTGGTGGAAGATCTATCAACAATCTGCATTATGCAGATGACACAACCCTGCTTGCCGAAACTGAGGAAGACCTGAAGTGCTTGCTGCAGAGGGTCAAAGACTGGGGCCTTCAATATGAATTGAGGCTCAATGTCAAGAAGACAAAGATACTCACCACTGGACCAATTGGCAGCATCAGGATGGATGGTGAAGAGATTGAGATTGTTCACAGCGTTAGTCTGCTTGGCTCCACAATCAACACTCTTGGCACCAGCAGCCAGGAAATTAAAAGACCTATTGCGATGGGAAAGTCTGCTGTTAGGGACCTCTCTAAAGTACTGAAGAGCAATGGTGTCACTCTGGAGACTAAGGTGCATCTGATATAGACCATGGTCTTTGCAATCACTTGTTATGCATCAGAGAGTTGGACAATGACTAAGGGGGATAGAAGGAGAATTGATGCCTTTGAGCTTTGGTGTTGGAGAGGGTTGAACCGGGCTGCTCCTTGGAGGCAAGGATTCTGAGGCTTCGTCTGACATACTTTGGACATGTTGTAAGGAGAGACTGGTCCTTGGAGAAGGACATCATGCTTGGGAGGGTGGATGACAGGCGCAGGAAGAGGGGAAGGCCCCCTAGGAGGTGGATTGATTCAGTGATTGGGGTAATCAGGATCGGTGTGTTGGAGACAGTGTGATTGGCACAGGACAGAGCAGAGTTCAGAGCTGTTGTACATAGGGTCACTATGAGTCGCAAGTGACTCGACGGCACGTAGCAACAACAACAAAGACAGACAGACCTGTTTGTTCTCTTGGTAGTTGATGGTATATTCAGTCCTCTGCTCTAGCACTACAACTCAAAGGCATCTATTCTTCTTCTATCATCCTTAGTCATTTGTTCAGCTTTCTGATACATAGCAAGTGATTGTGGCGATCATGGCAAGGACAAGGCACACCTTAATCTCTAGACTGGCATCATTGCTCTTCAGCACTCTAGAGAAGTTGTATGCAGGTAATAAACAAACAATTGAAACTGAGTGTTTACTTCTGTTAATTTAAGCTGATAATTTATCCTCCTACCTTTTAAACTATCAGGTCGTTGAACCTACTTAAGTATATTCATTAATTATGTGTTGTCATTTGGAAACATGAACACAGTGAAGCCCATATGAGTATAAATGATATTGAGTAACTATCAATAGGAATCTCAATTCAGTCTTCATTGACATCATAATTACAGTCATCTCCTGACTCTGGCCTTTGTCCAGAGGAGTAAAACAAAGCAAAACTGTGACACAGTGGCACTTGCCTCAGCAATTGAATGTGAAAACCTTATCCGATCATCTTAGGTGCAGCCATTAAGTTACATCAGGTCTGCTTATTTGATAGTCTAATTATTTCATATTAGTGCCATTTTCTTTGATCAATGCATTTGAGTCATCTTAGTCATATACACTGGGGCATATAAAAAGTCACTTAATTCTTACTTAGTTTACATTTGAATTTTGCAGTCTCTATCTGTTACAGTGTATATTTTTATTTCTATTTATAAATAACCTACATCTTCAATTTCTTTAGGATCATGTCAGGGATTTAATGCATTACTGACTTCAAACTAAAAGTTGTAAGGAAGAAACAAGCAACAGAGTAGCAGCAAGAGAATTCAAGTTTGGAGGGTTATCCTTTTGTGAATAGGGAAAGGAGAAAAATGAGCTCGACTAAAGGAAACTGAAAACGTACGAGATGTTGGACCAGAGTGAAGTGGCCTAAACTAGAGAGTTAAATGAAAGCGTAGAAGATTTCTTGAAGGGAACAAATCAAGCGGTCTCTACTGTCACAATTTCAATTGAAGCAAAGCTTCTGACAAAGGGGAATCTTAGACCCCAAGATTGGCTTTGCTTGGTTTTCCAAATTTGCGGAAAAGATTGGCTTTTCCTTGAGATATCTGTACGTGGGGAGCTTCTGCTTCGGGGAAAGTGGCCCCAGAAACCAGCCACAATGGGAAAGGCTGGGCTTGTGTGCCCTCAGCATAGCATTGCCAAAGGTGGTGATGCCATTAGTTCGGAGGGCAGAGAAGAGTGTCTGTAGGCAGCTCTGTGATACGTGAATGATTAGCAGGATGTTTTGAAGGATTCCTCGAGTTGGAAAATGATGATTTTGAATGATTAAACTAAAGTACTATTTTAAGATTAAGAAGTAATTTCTTCTGGTGATTCCTTTTTTTTTAAATTTTTGGTTCATTTAAAAGACATCAATTAAAAAAAAAAAGACACTGATGATAAAAATCCACTATATTTCAGCTTAACATTGATGAAAACAAGAAATGGTGTTTTCATAGATTTCAGCATCGGGATAATTTCTGCCCCTTTCCCTTCCCCCCTCCCTTTTTTCATTGAATGAGTTACAAAGGTTCATGTCTTATTTATGGATTTCTTAGCCTTTGTGGTTTCATGCTGTCTGGCTTCAGCATACTGTTCTCTTTTCATCGTGGATACTTTAGTTTGCATAAGTTGTCCTTGGTTTAGGAAAAGAATGAATTTAAATGAAGTCTTTGAGATCACTTTTATCTGGTTAACATTACATTTTTTTGAATTTAAGTAAATAAAGAAAATTGAAATGGAAGCTGTCAACATGTAAAGAAATACT